CCAATTTACATTCCCATCAACAGTGCACGAGGGTTTCCTTTTCTCCACATCCTCGCCAACACTTGCTATTTCTTATCTTTTTGATAATAGCCATTCTAACAGGTGTGAGGTGATATCTCACTGTGGTTTTGATTTGCAGTTCCCTGATGATTAGTGATGTTGAGCATCCATAATATATTTCAAATCTGTCACTTCTCTCCATCTCTATCCCTACTATCCTAGTCCAACATAACATCAACCCTCATCTGGTCTTTTGAAATGGTCTTTTAAGTGGTAACTTTGCTTCTACTTCTAGTTCCCTATAATCCATTAGACCAGCTAGAGAGATCTTCAAAAAAAATTAAATCAAGTCACTTTCCTGCTTAAATTATTCAATGGCTTCCCTCCATATTTAGAATAAAATTCAGACTCTATACTGTAATCTCTAAGGCCTTATATGATATGTTCCTTGGCTACCTCTCCCTTTAATTACTATGCTCTTCTACCACAGTAGCCTTCTACGTGTTACTTGAGCACGACAAGCTCTTTCCTACCTCAGGGCCTTTGCACTAGCAGCTGTTCCAATGGTCTTAGGGAACTTACTGTTTCCCAGCTCTCTGTATGGCTGGTTCCTTGTCACCTCCATGTCTTAGCTCAATACCACTTCCTCAATAAGGCCTATTTGACAACTTTGTCTAAAGGAGGTCCCTCTCCAGTTATTTCCTATTATATCACCTAATTAATTTCTATCACAGCACTTATCACAACCTAAAATTATTTTGTTTATTGTCTGTCTCTTCCCATTAGATTAGAAGCTTAATGAGGCAGGGACCCTTCTTTTTTAAAAACAGCTTTATTGCAATATAATTCACCCATTTAAAGGATATAATTCAATGGTTTTTGGTATATTAATTATTTTTTAAATTGTGGTAAAAATATATATAACAAATTTGTCATTTTAACCATTTTTAAGTGTATAATTCACTGGCATTAATTACATTCATAATGTTATGCAACCATTATCACTATCTATTTCCAAAATTTCATCATCCCCAAAAGAAACTGTACCGTTAAAGTAATAAAGTAGCAACTTTCCACAGCCCCTGGTAACCTCTAATCTACTTTCTGTCTCTATGAATTTGCCTATTCCAGATAATTCACATAAGTGGAATCACACAATATTTGTCATTTTGTGTCTAACTTACTTAGGAGGCAGGGATCTCTGTGTCTTATTGACTGCTCTATCCGTTAAAGCTTACTTCAATATATAGAACACACAGCAGAGGCTCAACAAATACTTGTTGAATAAACTAATTCATCAATTTTAAGCAAGTCACAACTTGTCTGGAACTCAGTTTCTTAGCTGTGTGATGGTGCTATTGATACAGCACTTCTTCACTTATTAAACATCTTTTGAGAATTTACAGTGTTTCAGGCATTTGCTTACTAATGGAAACATCATAACGTGCAAAATAGTTATTATCTCTGCTCTCAAGGAACGTTCAGTTCCTTTTCTATCTGGGAATCATCATCTTTGATTCTGTGCACTTTTAGGCTGGAAATACATAGAACAATGAAGTATACGGAAGTCAGGGAATCTCTGCCAAGTCTGTCAGATTATGTGATACCACACTGGAGTGATGGATGTCACAAGCCATACTGTCTTCAAATTCATTTAACATTAACTGCCCTTTTCACTTTTCAGTGTGATATTGAGGGTCACATGGATATATATGTATGTACATTATGAACTATAAAGCTCTTCACAAACGTAAGGCAAAAAAGTATTATAATTTTTGATTTTCTACTTTTTATGCCTGGGAACTAAAAGCAAGCTACTGTGCTATACAAAAATTCTAACACAGTGTACTTATAAACTTACTGACAATTATGGCAGGACCTGGTTTCTAAAATCAATGTTAATTACACTGTACCTGAATTTTGCCAGGCGCATTCCTATAATGTTACATGCTGACCAACCCAAGAAGGCTATTTCCAGACAAGGAGGCTGACACTTGAAAAATATCAGTCAATGGTGCCAAAAACAAGGCATTTTGCTTTATTCCCTTTCAATACCCAATCCAGCCTACAACACACACCTTCAGACAGCAGCGACAGGAAGAGGGCAAGCAGGCCTTACCACTCCTCTCAGCTCTTCAAACAACACTTGAGAATTTCTACTTAAAGGCCTGTCTTTCTAAGCTTGTGCTTTCAAAACTTGGGCTGGACTGATCCCAAATACTGAAGTAACAAATATTACTAAATTCTGTCATTTCCTCTACCGAAAAAGTGATTTTACTACTACTTTTCGTTGTGATGAAAGGTCCTATTGACTATTCAAATCCTCAACCAAGTTATGGATGCAGTATTAAATGACTTCACTTCTTTTTCTCTGGCACTTTAACACATGCCAATGCTTTCATCTACCTCCACTAACGTGGCTTATAAACTACTGAGGTGGGGCCATTTTAATAGTATGATTTGTTCACATCTCTAGAGATGGGGTATAAATGAAACTGACTGAGAAGACAAACTCCCCTTTGACAACATGTATTGGTATATATGTATATAAAAATAAACCTTCAAAAGTTGGAAATATCTTATTGATATAATACTTGGTTAGGAGCCATAATAATTAACGGTTCTTTGATCTGTTATAAACTGAAATGTAATAAAGTGATGGTAGTAAGGCCAAAGACAAAATGAAACATTCTCCAAGAAACAGTAAGAGATGGGACAGAGTTAAAGTGAAAAAAGGTTAAGGGTCACAAATTTGCTAAAAGTTTTCTTCTAAATACTCAGAAAAGGTTTCCTGAATGAACCATGAAATCTAAGAAAGTCTGTTTATAAGAAGCTCATTGTCTGCTCCTTTTAAAACTGCCACAATAGTGACGAAAAAACACCAGAGAGAAAGATACTTGCTCCCTATGGACTTAGAGTGGTTAACCTATTGATCTTAAACACACACACACACACAAGTAATCTCTCAATTTTCAAAAAGAGTATAAAGTTGCAGAGGACACAAAATTACTCAAGTAATCTATTTTTTAAACAGATGAACAAAACTAGTTCAGCATACCTGTGGCCTTGGTTCAGTTAAGAATAAAGTCAGAGGCCTCTTAGAAAGTGCTCCACAGTGAGGACCAAACAGGTGCTAGAGCCCAGAGACTAAGGTGAAGGGCTGACTTTCCCAAACTTTCTACTGCACATAGTCAGCCTCTATCTTTGTTCTGTTTTCAAATCAGGCTGGGCTATTCCTAGTACCTCTTTATACCATCCTTTGGCATTCCTCATCGGCTCTGAGAAGAAAGAACTTAAGTGTGTATGCGTGTTATGTGTGTGGATGTGTGCAGGTGTGTGTGTGTGTTTGAAGCTGGGACTTACGAGGAAATCCAGGCATTTCAGCCCTTAATGAGGAGTAAGTTTTACCTGGGAGCTTCCAATAGACTTCTGACCTTAGGGCCTATGTGCTTAAAGAAGAAATAGAAAACAGGGCAAGGAGAGAAGAACCTCAGAACTCAGTTCTACTAAATGAGGCCAACCTTACTGACATCCTGACTCCCAGGCTTGGGGCCCCAGTGCCCACGTGCTCTTTTCCACCCTGGCTGACTTCACTGGAGGTGCTAATTCACTTAGACCTCTTCTCCCTTAGTGCACTCTTAGTCTGGCCGCTTCTTGACCAGGTCTGTCTAAACACTGCTTTTTCCATGGTAGGACAACTTTGATCAGTAGTGTGAGCTAGGCAGCCTTGAAATCAAAGTCCTGTTTCTTAGACTGAGATACTCTTTTGCCAAAAATGGAGTGAGGCAAAGCATCAGTCATGGCAAGAATGGTACACAGAGAAAGATGAGTCATGGGCCAGAGACTGCGAGCAACAGTGCTGCCTGGAGTAAAGAACAAGAGCTGGGGTGGCAGCAGACATAAAAGCAATATGACCAAGAGGGCAATGAGTGTGACACTACAGAGCAAATGATTAATTGAGGATTGCAAACCAGAAATTTGATCCGATATCAGAAAAAGACAAGAATCTTAATAAAAACCAAATTAAACTGAGGTTGGATAAGGGGAAAAAAGGCAAAGATGACACCATATGGAGGAATAATTCTAGATCTATCAGGAATGAATAAGGGAATTTTTCAGTGAATCTTTAGATTCATATGGATAAAAGGTAACTCGGGATCATAAAAACAAAAGCATCACAAATCTTATTGCTTCTATAAAAAGGAAAGGTCTGAGGATACAGCTGATAATGTCCTTAGATAACAGCCAAACCGTGGATACTCATCCATGTGATATCCCAATTGGAAGGATGTCCAAATAAAAACAAACCACTGAAGTTGATCTTCCTTTACAACCAGAAAATTTACAGAATGTCTACCTCTTGAAGTAGAGCCAAGAGTGCTAAAGAAATGCTGCACATTTCTTTTAGGGAAATGCAAACCCAAGCATCTGTTAGCTTTCTACAGCATGTAGAAAGACATTATTTAAGTGAGATACTACCTGCTATGATGTTGAGAGAGCCACAAAAATCCAAGATGGATTGGAAGGACCATCTTCCAATGGTCCTTTGGTCTTTTCTTTTGAGCCCTGAATAATAAGGTGAGGAGACCATTGAGGACTTGCCAAAGGCACTAAACTTTTACTCCATAACAACTCCCAATGTAAAATGAGCCCCTAGATGTGGTCTAGGAGAAGAAAGTGGTGTGAGAAGAAAGCTATTAGCAGCCAAGCAGCAGAGGCAAGCGGTTTTAAAGCCCACACATTCAAGTACAGTCTACCAGCAAGTAACAACTCAGTAAAGGGCTTCTGAGTTTAGTAGCAGGATTCCAATTTGTACCGATTGCTTCTCTGTAGTATTTTTAATGGCATAGAATAACACTATGGCCAAAAAAGAACTTTGCACTATCACTGTAACTGGTTAAATAAGAGAGCCAAGTGTAGTATTTATAAAGAAAGAGGGTTAGCCATCCAAGGAAGCAGGTATGTGGGAAGTAGGAGAGAAGTGAAGAGAAGTTACTTACTTGTGCTATATTTTTGTTCAGAAGATAGACACCATAATCAAATTGCAATTTCTCCCCTCCTTTTGGGTATAATGGAAACCTAAAAAAGATAAAATAGGATCAGAAGTTTTCCAAAACTTGAGTAAAACAATCTCCAAGTTGTTGACAAAGGTGGACGTTTCTTGGAGACAGCAAAAACATCTGAAGACTTGGACTAAATCATTTAGTTATAGTCATTGCAATCAATTATCTTAATATCTTCATAACATTAGTCAACTCAGAACAACAGCTGCTTTGTTTCAAAGGAAAAATTGAATAGGTCATACAACAAGGGTCTAATATATAAGAAAATGACCCACCAACCCCAAGGAGTTAGGCCACTATGTTTCATATTTACATATCATAAACTTACGACCCCAAGATTAAGACCCTAGAAATTTTTTCCTCTAATACCTTGGACCTAATATCTCAACTTATACTAAATGGAAGAGGAAGATTTAAGAAGAAGAAGAAGAAAAAAAAACAGACTTGAATGCAATATATAGGATTTCTGTTTCTTTTAAGGTGGCCAGTCAAATCAACAGCACCAATATGAGTGAAAATTCATACAAAATTCATTCACATTCGGAGGGGGGTGTTATTTGGATGTTACTTCTACAAGACAATGTACTCATGCCATAGAGCTCTCCTAAGACTTTCCACTTTAACCTGACTCACTAAAGCAACAAAGGCATGAGATCTGTGGATCTTTATCAAGATGATGCATTATTTTAGGGAATACTGTTCCCTCAGTGTTTCCCTTCTCCTACTCCTGCAAATGAACAAGAAAAGGTTAGAGTATACCTACATTCCAGTCATACTTTCCCCTGATTCTCAAGACCAAGCATACATTTTTATCCTCTGAAACAGATTTTTCTACAAGCAGATCATTCACAACTTAGGGGTCAAGAAGAAAATTTCACCTTCCTTAGTTTTGCAATATACAATTATTCTCAAGAATAAAATAATCTTACTAAAATGAATGATAGGTGACAATGACTGGATAGTCTTAGTTTCAATTGCTTGAGGAAAAGATACATTCCATAAAGCTTGGAGGATACTGTTTTCTAGGGAGAATAAAAGAAAGGAAACAGAATTTAAAAGCTTTATATTAAATACTCAAAAGTTGCTGTTTATATAGTGTCCAAAAGGTAAATTTGTTGTGCTGTAAAATCACAGGCACCAGGGAGTGAACAAGGTCATGAACTGTCTTCATTTCTACTAACGGAACACCACACGCTTCACATACTCATCAAAGAGATAGAGTTTTGCATTTAACTGAAGCAGTAAAAAATAAACTAGGACACGTGGTTTGGCCCTAAATTGAGATGCATAAAAATGAAAGCAAAGCAAATTCAGGATAAGCAAAGTGCAACACCAGGTTTTTACAGGGTGTCTGGGAATCATTCAAATTTGTGTGGGGTAGCTTGCAAAGAAACTACCTAATTGCAAAGACATAACAACACGGGGGCACTTTGGAAGGAATCTACTAGAGTCCTAAAGCTCTGTACCGTGTAGTTGTTATTCTATAAATTACCACATATAGACTAACTGCACAGCTCTCCAAACTCACCCATATCTCCACTTTCAAGTTATAAATACAGAAACTGTTTTAAATATTGGAAAAGGGGTTGGCCTGCTGGCATAGTGGTTAAGTTCGCGCGCTCCACTTTGGCAGCCCAGGGTTTGCCGGTTCAGATCCCGGGTGTGGACCTACACACCGCTCATCAAGCCATGCTGTGGCGGCGTCCCGCATACAAAACAGAGGAAGACTGGCACAGATTTTAGCTCAGGGACAATCTTTCTCAAGCAAAAAGTGGAAGATTGGCAACAGATGTTACCTCAGGGCCAATCTTCCTCACCAAAAAAAAAAAAAGTTGGAAGAGTACATAGAAATAAGCATACATTGAAAATCAAGTCTCTTTATTCCAGAAAAATGGATCTCACAACTGACTTTATTACTTCATTGGGACTTCTTTATAGAAAGAGCCACAAAGTGTGTATATAACAGTAGAACAAATCTGGAGTGATTAGAGCCAAAGGTTCAAATAGGGCAATTTTAAGACAGATCAAATATTAGCACGGAGTTTCACATCTTAGATTGCGTTCAATTCTTAAGGGGTTACTTCAGTTGAACAGTATAATAGCTTATAATTATTACATATTCATCTTACTTTGCTAAAATACATGGATTTATAGATCTATCAAGCTATATTTTAAAAAATGAAATCTGTTTTAAAGGGTAAAACCTATTACTACCAGGACATAAGATACAAACCAAAGGCATCTTAATTCAATTTAGATAGAGAATCACATCAGCAAACGGTAGAAGGTTTAGATAAGAATGTGGTCCTTCAAGCACAACCAGAAAAACGTCCTTAGCACCACAAATAGGATTCCCAAAAGGGGGATCATATTAAATAACTGGACGAAGAGCTGCACACTTCCTACGATTTCACTCTAACAGAAAAGGCAATTAAAATGACCAATGTTAAATTTTCCAGATTAAATTAAATTATATTTCCAAACTGTTTTAAAAATTCACTGACTCTACATGGTAAAATCAATGAATTAAAAAGCAATAAATGGATTACGTGTGAAGATGATTTGGAGCTCTTTAGTACACAGTAATTTCAGTATGAATAAAGATTATGACATGAATATCGAAAAACCAGTGTGATCCCAGGCTGTATCAACAGAAACAGAGCAGATAATCAGGGACAGTGCTGGTGCCAACTGCTTTGTACTGGGTCAGACTACACTGAGAGATCTATGTTCAGTTCTGGGAGATAATGCTTTTTTACAAGTATACAGATAAATCACTGGAACCTTTCTCATAGGTTATGTTTCTTATAGGTTTTGTAATAATCTCTGTGACTATAAAAAGCACGCAGTGAAGCAGAGTCGTCCAGTGTTTTTCCCACCTAAAAACAACTGACTGACTTAGTGGAAGAGACACGACCTCAGGATTAGGTCTTCAGGTATAAATTCAGCGTTCTTTCTACTGCCTCTGAGTCCTTCAGAGAACAACCAGGATGATTAGAAGAATGGGAGCCACAGTTTTGAGAGAAATGGCTGGGAAAAAATGGGTGAAAAACACTCCAGAGGTGTTTAGCCTGGAGGATAGAAGTCTCAGGGACAACAAATGAAGGACTTTCAGAGAGACAAAAGGTTGGCTTTGTTCTCATAGCTTCAAGCAGGAAGAACCAAAGTTAAAGGTAAAAGTTAACATGAAAATTGATTTCACCACAGAATTAGTCAAAATCCAAAAGATCTTGGGTAGAGGCAGCAAGTGAGAGGCTGGGCAACAAATAATGGACGTGTATTCAGGAGGTTTAGTAGGCTGACTGGTGGCCCCCAAAAGATATGTCTATATCCTAATCCTCAGAACCTGTGAATGGGACCTTATTTGGAAAAAGGGTCTGCAGTTAAGGATCTTGAGATGAGATCATCCTTGATTATCCCGGTGTGCCCTAAATTCAATAAGTGTCCTTACAAGGGACACACAGAGGAAAGACACAGAGAAGAGAAGGTCATCTGAAGACGGAGGCAGAGATTCAAGTTCCAGTCTCAAGCCAAGGAATACCTGGAGCCACCAGAAGCAGGAAAGAGCAAGGAAAGATTCTCCCCTAGAGCCTTCGGAGGGAGTATGGCCCCGCTTACACCTTGATTGCCGACTTCTGGCCTCCAGAACTATGAGAGAATAAATTTTTGCTGTTTTAAGCCACTATATCTGTGGTAATTTGTTATGGCAGCCGGAGAAACTAACCCGAGGGGGAATCAAACACTGGATGACCCATTGGACTAGATGAGGTATTAGATCTTCTCCAAGACTTTATAATTCTGAATGGGCAAAACTAAATGTAATGAATATAACTTCACTTTCCCTTCAGGAACCAAGAAAATATTTCAAGACTATAATGCCAAGGGGTCATCATGATAGGCATCAGCTAAGGCTGCAAAGCAGACTTACTAAAGTGCTAGTAAATGGAATGTGAGAAAGAGATTCATACGAATGGTCCAAAAGTGGGAAATTTTTTTTTAAAAGATTTTATTTATTTATTTTATTCCCTTTAAAGCCCCAGTAGATAGTTGTATGCCATAGCTGCACATCCAAAAGTGGGAAATTTTTTTAAATTAAAATTTTTTATATGTATGTTCCAATTACTTTATATAGGTGCGTGTGTGGATACATAAAGAATATTTCACACTCAATTTGGGAAAAAAATTTGTAAAAGAAACTAATTTTGAATAATACTTAATTTAAAAAGATACAACTAATGGGCCAGCCCAGTGGCGCAAGCGGTTAAGTGCGTGCGCTCCGCTGTGGCAGCCCGGGGTTCGCCGGTTCGCACCCTGGGTGCGCACCGATGCACTGCTTGTCAAGCCATGCTGTGGCCGTGTCTCATATAAAGTGGAGGAAGATGGGCACGGATGTTAGCCCAGGGCCAGTCTTCCTCAGCAAAAAGAGGAGGATTGGCAGATGTTAGCTCAGGGCTGATCTTCCTCACAACAAATAAATAAAAAGATACAATTATTATAAGTGCTACCCTCTCCTTCTCAACCTAGACATTTTTACAAAGGACTCTAAATTGGTGACAGTTTCTTGCCTTCACCTTCAGAGCCCCATATCCAGGTCTGGCTCTTTGATGGCTCAACTGGAGATGAGGATACAGCTATAGTTAATTCAGACTTTTTACTGTGCGTACTACGATCACTTCTGCCCACTGTATTTGCAGTAAATGTGACAATACATAGTCAATATGTTCTGAGGACATGACTTTACTTCAAATTCAACATACTTTTTCCTGTCCACCACAACTTTTCCACTCAGGCTTAGAGTGACACTCAATTTTTACCCACCTACTTTGCCCTTTATATATGCAGTGATTCACCAAGTCAACAAGTCAATTTTCCTGTGAAACATTCTTATCTCTCCATTCCCACTGCCACTCTGGAAAATTCTTTGTTGTTGTGTGCATTGTAGGATGTTCAGCAGCATTCTTGTCCTCTGCACACTAGAAGCCAGTATTATTATTTTTCCTCTTAAGTAAGACTTTT